ACTGTGTGTCAGAATCATCTGGAAGGCCTCTAAAAGATACAGAGATCTCGGTCCCACCCAGTTCTTTGGGTTGGGTGGGGCCAGGGCATCTCTCCGTGGTTAAAGCCCCTCCAGGCAGGACCCAGACCCCTTGTTCTGAATGGAGGTGTCTGCAGTGGGTCTCCACCCCTGTAGTCTCAGGAGGCCTTTTCCTGTGATTAAACCTTTTTACAACTTTGTCCACAAGGGTCACCTGGGAAGCTTTTAAAGCTCCCAGAGCCCAGGCTGCACTGCAGACCCAAGAAATCAGAATCTCAGGGGTGGGACGCAGGCATCAGCATTTACTAAAGCTCCCCAAGAGGTTCCAGGCAGCAACCAGGGTTGAGAATGAGTAACTTACACAGAGCAGGGCACTCTCCTGTGCCATAGCCCGGGTCCCCTCTGCGGGGTGAATCATGCTCCTGGCCCACTCCATGGGCATTGAATGTGCCCCCACCCTAGGGTGGAGGATTGTGGGAGTGGAGGGGCTGCCATCTTGCAGGGGTGCCAAGTTTCAGCTGCGGTTTACCCAGAGCAGTGACTCCCAGACTTGACCCTCATTCTCTGCACAAGAGCATCCTGACCACATCAGCTGATACTGCTTGAAAATCTTGTGTGGGGTGGACTCTGGGCTAGATCCTAAGTGGGACATGTGACTGAGTCCCTGCCCTAGAAGAATTTGTCACCCAGCAAGAGAAATAAGATGTGCACATAAAAATAACTGTGCTTAGGTAAGGAAGAAACTGGTAAGTGCCACAGAAGCAGTAAAAAATAAGTGTGGTCTCATATAATTCTCAAAAAAAAATTTTTTTTAATCCCCAAAGCACCATTGACTTCTAATTTGCAATAAATCATCACAGCTCCAAGAAGTCCAGCAAAGTATCTCATTCGCTGTCAGCAGGATGGTGACATCTTTCACTTGGATGAGTCACTAACCCCAGAGTGGGGTTAGCACCAACCCTGGAGGCTTTAGGTTTGTTGTCCTCCTACGCCAAGACAGGCTCATGCACAGGCTAAGGCAGAGGGACTTACAGAAGGCATCTTGCCTAAGCTCCTTGCAGCAGAGGAGTTACTCAGGGCCCAGAGGAGTGAAGCACTTGTGCCCAAGTCACACAGCAAGGCAGGATCAGCCTGGGTGGAGGCTGGCTTTGATGTCAAGCCTGCTGAATCCTCTGTTGTCCCACTTGAAGGGCAGAGGAGCTCCAGATGAGCAAGAACAGGTCTTTGGGCCTGACCCTCATTGAACAATGACAGCCTCTACAAGAAGTGGTCCCTCCCATGCCTGGAATTCCACCATTAGTGCTCCATTCTTTCATACCCTTCCTGCATTCCTAATACTACCTAAGTTCCCAGAGAGCCAACCGGTAGCCCTCAGGTCTTCAGCAAAATGTTTTCCTCTTTCTGCAGGGTTTACTACTAACACAAGGGAGGTATTAAGCCACTAGGGTCATACCAGACTGCTTGATCCAGTTGCCACTGTTAGAGCTGAAAAGAATGCATATTCTAATGTTGAGCAATGGAAATTTAGCTGCACTAGGATGACGTCATGAAGTTGGGACATTACGAAGGGTTGCAGACGTTATTATCGGTGAGGAATTCAGGGCCCCTGTGTGGCTACAACTGCCTGGCCATCGCTTCCACCACAGAGAAAGTGGAATGCCCCTGCACAGGGACAAGTCCTGTCTTGAAGACAGGACTAGTGGCTGGACGGAGACCTGGCAGGCCTCATTGCAGGGACAGCTATCACTGGTGTAAGCTCACTCACCACTGGGTATTGGTCTAAGCACTTGGCACATGTTAATCCTGCACTACGACGGTCATCTTCACAGATAGGGACAGCAAAGCAAAGGGAGGGCAAGCAACTGCCCAAGGTCACACAGCCAGTAAGTGGCTGAGCCAGGCTTTGAACCCAGACAGGCTCCAAGTCTGTGTTCTCAGCTGTTCAATGTGTACCCTGCCTCATGAGGAGAAGAGTGGCCCCCTTCCTGTGTTGGCCAGGGACACTGTATTGAGGAGGAACCCCCAGTCCAAATCCAGTGTTGGAGGGAGTTGTCTCTACTCTGGGTGGTGACCTGCCAGTGGCTGTGGGCACTCGTGGACCAGAGATCACCGCCCAGCTTTGCTTGGGCCGCAGCCCTGACCAGAAGCCCTGAGCCCTGCCAGACCTCCTACCTCATTCCCCGTGGTCTTTCTCCGGCACCCCCTGCCAGGGCAGTCCCCTCCTTGGCAACCAGTCCCCCTGGTCTCCCCAGGAAGGAGCCTGCCCTGGGTGACCTCTGCCTCCTCAAGGCCTGGGGACAAGTGCTGAGCATGGGGCCACCAGGCAACACCGCAAGGCTTCTCTTCCCTGCACTTCCCAGGCCTTCCGGGTGCAGCTCTGGGAGGGTCATTGCCACCAGGAGCCTCCTGAAGCTGGGACCTTCTGGTCCTCAGGCCCCTCCTGAGTCTTGTGAGGAGCCTGTCCTGGAGACAGTCCGTGCCTCTGTCACCACAGCTCCAGGCCAGGCTCTATGGGGATGCTTTCACCTCTGGCATTCCCAGCTGGGGCAGCCTCAACCCCCCCCAACACACACACACACCCTTTTCCTGTATCTGTGCTTGCCCACCCCCTACAAGCCCAGACACCACGAAGAGCCCTGGCCCTGGAAACTTCGTCCCGCCAGGGCACAAGGAGAACATCCTTGGGGTGAGGGGTGACTGGCGAGGTGGGTAACAGCATGGGGGGGACTGCAGGGAGCAGGGAAGTGGGCCAGGAGGGCGGCATGCTGGTGCTGGCACCGTCCCCCCCCCTCGAGGAGCTCCCCAAGGAGCCAGGCCTGGTGTTGGGGGCAGGGGCCCTGGGGTCTCAGGAGGGCACAGAGGTGGTGGGGCTGGCGGGGGCTGTCGTGAGGGGCAGACCTGGCGGCCGTCCTCCTGCGGCCGCTCCTCCCACACCACGGCTCCCGCTGGCCCGCCCTCCCTCCCATGGCCCAGATTAAATCCCAGCCCTCAGCACTGTCTGCTGCTCGGGCTCCAGCAGGAGCCTTTATCTGAGATTAAGGATAATGGATTTCCTTTCTTGGATAAGTTTTTTTTTCTTCTTCTTCTTTCTCTCAGACTTTTTGTCCAAAATGTGCTCAACTCCAGAAAATAGACCTTTTGTTAACAAGCTTTTTCATTGACTGCGCTCCCCTCCCCCAATTCCGTTCCTCTCCCCCCCCCCATGCTTCCAAGGAAACCTCGGTTCCAAGTGCGTGGTAAGAGCGTGCAGAAGAATGGCTCACAATGGCTCACCCTTCCTCCCCCACCGCCACCTCCCCGGCCCTGGGTGTGCTGAGGTTGGGGCAGGAACAATAACTGGACTTCTTCCTCGTTTTCCTCCCGCAGTTGCTACCAGCACCCTCATCTTCAGGACTCTAGATCCTGCCTGGAAGAAATGGGGAGAGGACTTGGGGGGCCCTTCCTTGGTGTCCCACTCGACTCACTCATGGCCGATCTTGGGGAAGGGGGGGACTCCAGGCTCGTGGCTGTCATGGGAGGGGGTGGCCCCTTCCTGTAGCCAGGGACAACTGCTATACATTTATTTCACCTGGATCTTTCTTTTTCCCCCTCCGACAGCCCTATTACCATATTTAAATGCAAGTATGTCTCTTTTCATTGACATTTTAAGTAGCTTAGCCTGACCTTTTTAGAGTAGCTTGTTCCCTTTTGGATTTCTTTCCCTTCAGTAGTACCGTGTAGCTAGGACAATAGTCTTAGAGTTTAGTGGGCTTCTAGTTCGCTGTTTGGGGGACCTCTCCTCTATCTCCCCTTTCTTTCCTCCTCTGTCCCCTGCCCTTGATGGTGCATGTCCTCCTCCCGCTTGTCCGGTGGAAATTCCTCATTTGAAAGGCTCAGTGGCTATAGTTGAGCAGCCCGGTTGGGGGCAGTTTAGGGAGTTTGCCGCTGGCTTCTGGCACATAATTGAAAACCAGTCCCTGGAGGGTCCTGGGGCGACACCTCCGAGCAAGCGTTTCCCTGGATGGTAGAAGACGTTGGTCTTTACGTGTGTGGGAGTGTATCTGTGTGTGTCCCAGTGCCCTGTGTGCATCACCTGCTAGTGGCCAAGAGAAGCCCAGGGTAGGGGACTTGGCTTCCTTCATTTTGGACACTCCACAGCCACACGGTGTCACCTTGGCCTCCTGACTTGTATTCCCATCGGCTGGGATGGCCTTGCTGCTGGTGCAGTTTTCAGGTAGCAAAAGCCTTGATCGAGAAGGACTCCAGAGACCCCTCCAACGCCAGCATCCTCTGGACCGCAGGGCTCAGACAGAGGAGACACATCGAAATCCCCATAACTGCTTTAGGAGGTGGAAACACTGAGAAATCACCCCACATGGGTCCCCACAGCCCCACGCTCCCTCCCATATCTGGCCTCGTGTGTATGCAGTCACCTGGGAACCCCCCAAATGCTTCACGCTCGGGCCTGGGGCTGTGATGCGGTTGACATGAAGGTTTGACGAAGTCTAGAGTTCAGATGGCCAAGCCAACCTGCAGAGCCTTTGGCAGACAGCTGGAGTTACGCCGCCTCCTGGCCCAGACGCCAGCCCTGTGGAGGGGCCCGCCAGGTGCCTCCTGCCTGTCCCCACTCAGCCGGGACCCCTGCAGGTAGCAGCGAGCCAGCCCACGTGCACAGCCCTGCTCTGGACGAGCCCCGAGCCATCACCACTCGACAGCACAGAGTCAGCAGGGAGCTCAGCCCCGGTTCTCACGAGAAAATTCCTCCCAATACTGCAGTTATTTTTGTGTGCCTTTTTAGAACCAGTTTCTGGGGTGAGAATCAAGCACACCCAAAGATGCTGTGCCTTCCAGAAGCCTGAGAGCCACTGATCTGTGTCCCTCCCCAAAGCTACCCCGTGAGAATTCTTTCCCAGTCCTGTGTTTCATGTGGCCCTTGAGACAGGCCTGTCCCCCACCCTTCCGAGGATCTCTCCCTGACGCTGGCTCTCCTCTGTCCCCGCCAGGCTTCCCAGCAGCGGCGTACGGACCAGTGGCGGCAGCGGCGGTGGCGGCGGCGAGAGGATCAGGTAGGAAGGTGTACGGGCCAGGCGGCTTCCAGGCATGCCCCCAGCGTGAGGGGAAGGTCAAGGCCCTGTCGGATCTGTGTGGCTGCATCTGTCCAACACCTCTCTCACCACAGCCGGGAGGGGGTGGACAGGGAGGCCCGGCCGCCCAGGGCACTCCTAGCAGGGCCAGTCGAGTCACAGGACTGCAAACCCAAAGGCGGATGATTCCCTCATTGAAACGAAACCAAAGCAAACCGAGTGTCTTTTTGACTTTGATCGCCCGTTCACCTGACAGCTGGCTTCTGGGCATCTCCCTCCTTGGCTTTTGCTGGTTCAACAGGCTCCCATCCTTGGGTCCCTGACTCAGCCAGAGAGGTGCATAGTCTGCTCTGGGCCCCTGCTGCACCTGGCAGGTGGGTTTGCTGAGCTGGCCACAGTCCCAACAGCCCTGAAGTCCAGGCGTGGGGCCAGCCTTGACCTCCATGAATGAAGCTGCTGTTTCCTGGAGCCCCTGCTGCCTTCCAGACTCTTCTAAGCAAGGCTCTCTCCCGGGCTCCAGCTGCCAAGGGAATCAGGCTTTCTTTCCCATGAGGTTGCCCCTCCTTGGGTCTCCAAATCCAACCTTTTAGAGGTCTGGAACCTTTCCAGGGACGTGGGAACACTTTCCCAGCAGCACCGTGGGGTCAGACCAGAGCTGGGGCATGTCTAGGACACAGCTGCCCCAGGGGCCTTTTGTCCCTCTCCCCAGATGCTCTCTGCCTTCCCAGGCGAGCAGGCCTTCCCTGTGCTGGGCTCCCTGAACCCCTGCTCCTCCCTGAACTGAGTAGCCATGGTTTGCAGCTCTCCCCTCGCCCCGACGGACAGGGCGCTGGAGCACAAGGGAAGGGCCCAGTTTGATGTGGCAGGGCTCTGGGGGACGGGGCGGGAGGGGTGCCGGTGAGGGTGCCAGGAAATGGAGCATTACAAACCCAGAGGGCAAATGCCAAAAGCCCAAACCCTCAGTGATGAGAAGCTGGCACAGTGAGGCCCGTTAGAAAAAATCCGTTCCATGCAAACTGGCACAGCCTCGGAGCTACAAAGGATCCACTCCCCCATCACCCATGGGGTTTTGTTTGGAAGGGGCCGGGGATTTCTCAGCGGGCTGCCGAGGGGCAGTTTGCCAGAGACTAGAGGGCAGGTCCAGAGAGCTGGATGTACTTCCTGAGCCCCCTGCCCGCCCTAGCCAGCCCCCAGAGGCCCCACCTGCTCTCTGGCCAGTGTCCCTCGGTCCCCGACACCCCCGGGCCCTGGGACAGAGTGCGCAGCTGCCTCGTGTCTCCCTGTTCCGTTTGGTTTTTTAACTTGAGTGCTTTGGGGTATAGTTATAAACGAGCCTCGGTCCTACCTGTGCCTGGGGTTGGGGAAAGAAAGATAAAAAGAAAACTCCTGAGATTTTTGAGTGTTGTTGGTTGTTGTTTTCTCCGTTCAGTTTCTTTCTTTTTATAACTTGGATTATGAAACTAAACTTTAACCCGAAATTAACCCTGCCTCTCTCCCCACCCCACCCCATTCTCCTTGACTTCATGGCAAGTTTAAAGGGCAGCATGGGGTTCTTTGTGAGTCTGAGAGCGGTCTCCCACGGTCTCTGTCCCCTTCGGCCACCCCACCCTCTCCCCGTCCCCTTCCCCCAGAGCCAGGCGGGAGTCCCACCCCCTCCCCCTAACTCCTAACCCCCAAGGTCATCTCCAGCCACACATTTTTTTTCAGGATCAATGGTGTTTTATTTGTAGCCATTTCCATCGGGAGCGAAGTCTCCCCTAGCCCATTCTAGGCCAGCCATGCTCATCGCTGCACTGTTAGTGAATCGTATTCAGGAGTGTGCTCCCAGGCCACCTGCCCGCACCAGCCGGGGTCAGTGCAGGGGATAAATCCTCAGCTCCGAGGTGCCCACCCCACAGGGTGCAGGCCTGGCCAGGGAGCTCCAGGGCAACCCCATAATGCTGCCTGGGGGTCCTGGGCTTGGGGTGTGCCCCCAGGCGATGTCTAGACTGTGCCCAGCACAGTCAGAGCACCGCCCGGGCTGGAAGATGCCTGCCTGCGTGCAGACAGGGTACCCCAGCCCTCCAGCCCCACCTTGGACCTGGAGCAGGGTTACAAGGTTGGGGAAGGAAATTCTCTGCATTTCTTTCTTTTAAAACATTTTGGCCAGTGGGGATACTGCCACCTCCCTCCCTCTAGAAAATGATCTGGACTCCGAGCCTGGCGGGATGCCCAGTTACTTACCTGTGAGGGGCCCCTCGGTGGCAAAACCTCTCTGCTGTGAATTGAGACTCACTTGGCTCAAGGTGCATCAGTCTAGGCCACAGGGGCTGGCTGGGGGCTGATGGCCCAGTTCCACCCTTACCAGCCCCTGCAACCCTGCCCCACCATCCCGCTCCTCCCCAGGGGACGAAGGTGCTCCTTCAGCCTCCCCGGGCAAGCAGCCTCGACTGCTGGAGGGCGTCGCGGACTCACCTGCACTCCCTTACGGGGACTCGCACGGTTCAGGAGTCTGTGGCGTACCTCCCTTGGGCTTGGTGCCTTGCTAAACCTGGCAGGTGGCTCCAAACACGGGGAAACGTGGCCTCTGCTTCCCAGAGGCTCTCAGCTGGGTTTAGGGATTAGGCATCCTGTGGAAAGCCCTTTTTTTGTCTTCCGTTTTTGTTTAGCTCCACCCTTTTGGGCTTTTATTCCCCCTTCCATTATGACTTACTGGGGGAGCCTCCCAAGGTGGGCAGCGCTTGCTGAGGGCTGGGGGGTGGGGAGCAGCTTCGTTTTGGCTCCGGGTGGCAACTTGGATCTGTCAGGGCTATGGTGTCAGGGTAGGAGGTCGGGGAGGCGGGGGCTTGAGCTCTGCACCTACCTCAGCCAGCTCCTCTGGGCCAGCCTGCCCGCCTTTTCCTAACTCCCCCAGGACCTGAGGTGAGCAGGGCTCAGGTGGCCCCACCAGGGGAGGTCCCTGCCGACTCCTAGATAACTTCACTATCAGTGGTTCACTTTTCTTTCACCTTCACCCGGTAGTTTGAAATGTCATCTTTTCTTGTGCTCAGTCGAGAGTTTGTTTGTTTATTTTGATCGTATCCATTCAGTTCCAGTGGCCCCATCCTGTCCCACCCCAACCTAAATCCAGTCTGGCAAACGACTCCCACGACAGGTGAGGGAAGTGGTTCGGATTTTCAGGGTTATTTTATTTCGGGGTGACAACACGGGTGGGTCCGTGTACGAGTCTTAGACCTTCTGAGCCCCATGGCACCACCCCGCCCCGCCCCCACCCCGCCCACCTCCCGCCCAGCCAGGACCCCGTACTGTACTTTACACTTGCCAGTTTTATTCCGATCTAGTAACGGGAGCTCCCGATGGTGGTGGTGAGTGTGAGCAGTCATGTTTCTGTTGTCTTTTCTCTTGCTTGGTTGGGGCTGCGGTGAGAGAGTGTCTCTGAGGCATACTTTCCCGCCTCTCTTACACTAGGATCTGCACACCTCCTCTCAAACACTCTTCTGAGCACGCTCAGCGGGAAGGTTTGTCCACACCTATTAATCCTCTCTCAGTGTCCAGCTTCCTGTTAGTACCAGCTGGTTTGCATGTTTTTGCTTGTTCAGATGATACAGTTCCAGAAACAAACTCATATCCAACTCTCGAGAAATGTCTTTTTTTTGTACACTTTCGTTTTCGATTTTTTTTTTTATTAGTTACAACTCCAAAACACCTGTTGTCCAGTAAAACATTTCACACCTCCCCTGCCTGTTCTTAGATTGTATGTATCTGTGGGACTGAACTAAATGCATGCACTGTAGTAGATGTACCGGTAGCCGTAGCTGTAGTTGTAGAACATGCATTGTTGAGTTGATATTACAGGGTCTCCAACGGCTCGGCACAGCACAGCCGTCTGAAGGATAGCGTGGGGGCCAGGAAGAGGAGGGCTCCATCTTTTCAACGTTGCCAAGGGGCTTGGATCCATGTTCCACCATCAGCCACCACCACCTCCCCTCACACTCCCCACTCCCCTGGTGCAGAACTGGGCCACACCCTCAGCTCTAGCCCTCTCAACTGCCATCTCTGTCGGTAGCGTCCAGCTAGAGTGAAAGAGAATGGAACCAGGATTGGAAGGAGACTTCAAGTTCTTCCTTGTTCTTGTCTTCCTCGCACTGTTCTTGAACAGAGCAGACCTCTTCTTGTTTCTTAAGGCCTACCTGCAAGATTCCTCCAAGCCCCTCTACCCCTTGAGTCCTTTGGCAGCTCACATCCAGCCCTCCAGGGATACAAGTCCATGTGGCAGCCCTGTCTATGGGGTCTACTTGGGGTGGAGAGGAAGCGAGACATGGCAGGGAATGGATGAGATCTTGAGATCTTAAGATCCTCCGTCTGCCAACAGGAGGTGCACTTGGTCCCAGTGAATGTTGGCGTTCATTCTCAGGGTTGGTGAAGGGGAAGTGGTGGCGTTCCTGGCCTGGAGATGACTCACACAGCTCCATGGGGAGTTGGGCTTGGAACATCCAAAGAGGAGGTCACCCCCTAGTTTTCCTCTAGCTCCCCAGGAAGGCTTCCTGGGGGGTGGGGGAGCAGTCCTGCAGCCTGTGCCCTCGGCTCAGGGGCATGTGGGATCAGTCACCCTTGGACACACCATCCTACCGAAGTTTGTGGTGACAAGCCACAAGGGAGTGCCAGAGGTGTCTCAGAGCTTTTGGAGATGACCTTAATCTTTACAAGTTGATGTCAAGAGAGGCGACACCTGCCTCTTGGAACCTGCTCTTTAAGTTGGGCTGGTTGGTGGCTCTGTCCCGTGCTGCTGAAGGACATGGCGGGGTCTGAACCCGCAGGATGCAAGTTATATATTATGGGAGACAAAACCCCAAGAAACTGTCCCAGAACTCAGTAAGTCCCCAAAAGGATGTGTAGTGATGGAGTGAAATGGTAGCTACGTGGAGAGACACTACCGTGCTGTGGAAGTTGGTGGCAGAGTCAGGATGGACAAGGATTGAATGTGAGCTAGGCCATGCTGCCAC